GCATTTAAATGCCAAAGGATACAAAAAGCATCAAGGTGAGTTTTTGAACTCTGAAATTTTTACAGAGTCTAACTTAGCTTTACTTGGTGCATATGCTAATGTTTTGAGAGCAAAATCTCTTCAAGAGGGAGAATATGATGTGGACATCAGTACCATACATCCTACCTTAGAAGATGAAGAGCATTTATATGCTAACTTGGAGCTAAACATGCTTGAAGAAGGGAAGCAAAGGAAGCTGGAAACTGTTTACAAAGAGAACAAGTGTTTAAAACCAAAACACTGTCGTTCTACACATCAAAGAGAGCCTCCTGATCATGCCAAAACATCACTGGTTCAAATTAAGATGCAAGAAGACCAGCTTAAACCACCAAAGCCCCTAAACCGCATATATGGACCTATTCATGAATTTATGAAGCCATTTATAGAAAGCTCGGATCTACATGAAGCCAGCATTGAAATTCAACCATCCTAAGATGCTTAATGAAGATATACAAGCCAATAACCGGAGCCAAATGAAAGAAGAACCACCAAATCCTCTCAAATCATCAAATCATGCAAATGGAGCATTAATGGAGTCAAGCAAAGAAACTTTGGATATATGTCTTACCAAGACATTATATTCGCCTTTCCTCATGTCCAAAGGAGCTTACAAGAGTCGTCACACACCAGATAAAGTCAGCACTAGTTCCCCTTCATCAGAAGTCAAAGAATATTACACCAAAGGGAAGCTTTCCTTATTTGGAGTTAATTATCTTGCTCCCAAAGGAAAGCAAGACCATCAATTATCTCTAGCATCTCATCTCGACCCTCCATCCTCTCAAGCAGATCCTGAACGTCCAAGCCTCACTGAATACCACAGTTTCGTTCCATGAATCAAGTCATTCTTCCCATTCATCCCCATTCAAAGCCTAACGGCTAGGAGACTAAAACAAGCCAAACTTAAGCCACTTTTTAAGCTATGTTTTTATTATCATTCATACTGTTTTATGTCTTTATTCTGAGCATTATATAAGCTCTATTTACTTGTATTTGGAGACCATGAAATTTATTAATCAAAAAGTATTTTATTTGTTTCAAAGAGAGAATTCTTTTGAAAACAATTGTTCTTGCAAATTAAACACTTTGTAGAATCAGAGAGTATAATTTGTAGAGAGACTTATTTTCTTTGTGAGGATTAGCCCTTGGAGAATCATAGTCTCATCCGGTTGCTTGTGGAATCAAACAACAAAGGCTGGTTATCATATCATCAACCATTCCTCCATCTATTTAAGCTTAAAGATCAGGTTCAATAGTGTATATAACTTAGAGCAATCCAGTCTTACATCAGGAACAATCGGCTAGGAAGCTGTTACACAAACCTAGACAGAAACGCCATCATTATGGCAGAACCACCAATTACATATCACTTATTAAACAAATGCGATAAAAATAGATCTAACAATAATATCATATTTTAAATTGTTTAAATTAAGTAACTTTCATATACTAAAAAATTATTTACATTCTTAAAATAAATCAAATTTAAAGTTATTAAATTTTTATGTTTATAAAAAAATTATCAATATATCTCGGTCTTGATTTCTATAAATATATTTTAGGTATATAAAACTTAATTTATATTAAAATATGTAAAAAAATTTATATTTGATTTTATGAATTTTATTTCTCAGTTCACATTTTTGACAATAAAAAATTTAATTGCAGACTAATTATATATCCTATTATTAATTGGCAAGCAAGTTGGACTGTGGTTGAGAGTTATAATGGTTGATTATCTTTTGCCCATCATGTGAATTAACTTTAATTACCCTTAATGAAATCTATTAATTATTTATTTATATATATTTAATAAAAAAACTTAATTATTTTCTTAGGCTAATTTAATCTAATCCTATTAATAAATATTAGATTGTGTTATTATTTTCGGCTAAACTTAATTTTTTTAAATTAATAAGAACCCTAATCTCTTTAAATTGTGAGATTAAATCTGATTTTCAAGGGATTAAATCCCTTCACAAAGAAAAAAATTGTGAGGTTAAATCTCTTTAATTATTATTTATTAGAAAACCCTTAATTTCTTTGGCCACAAGATTAAATCCATAATCGCCTACTCCTAGGGTTTCTTCAACCTCATATGTTCTTTCTAGAAACAATGGCTCTATGACGTTCAATATCTGTCTCTTCAAATGAAACTAAAAAAATAGTTACGTGTCGATCAAAATTGGAACCTTCTGATATGCGAAAGAGGATGAGAGAATCTAAAGATTTTTGGCTTCATAATTTTCAAAGGATTTGGGATGAGATAGTGATGTTAACTTTTGTTTGTAGGGGATTAGTGAGATACATATAGAGATTTCGTCGCGATATCCAAGTGAGATACAATTTTCATATGGTACTGATTCATATTACTACTGGTATAAGGGATGGAAGTATATCAACAGACAACTAACTAACACTGCGTTTAATGGTGATCTCTTCTTCACTTGCTAAGATTGTTGTTCTACAAATATAAGTTTCTCTTCATCTTGAATTCCAGTATTCATTTTCTTTGAACGTCTTTGCTCTGCTTTGATTTGGTCAGAGAGTCTTTGGGACTTTGTTACTCAGTTACGAATTAAGAAATTCTTCTGATGTTTTTTTTTTCTTTTTTATATGGATTGTTTTGGATTGGTTGAGTGAATAATATATTAGTTGGTGCAGAGTGTGTTGATTGAATAGGCGAGATTTGAGATTCAACAAAATAATTCTTCTGTTATCTTTTCTTACATCTGAATTTTTTTTCTTACATCTGATTTCTTTTTCTTAAAATTTTGGTTCTTACTCAGTCATACAGCTCTACTTTTGTCTTTGGATGAGGTTGAAATTTTAGCACATTTTTTTCTTTTTCTTTTTCTTTTTAGATAGCAGTATAATCAATTGGATCGATGCTCCATGACAGTTTTAAGCTGCACTGCATTTGACTTCACAACTAAAGGAATTCGATATATATGAAAATTCTATATAGAGTTTTGCAAACATATTTCTCGCCATTGAAAATCAGCAACTGCAACAAGATCGAAGGCACCCCCTAGCGTCTGTATCGAGTCGTATGAGGTTTTGCATATCGACAATCGCGAGCTACTTATTATTGATTATGAGAACGATAACATCTACAAGGTTTCATGCACTCTAACGCTATGTAAGTATCTAATTGTGCTGTTTTTTTCCAATTATACGATCTACATGTTATTCTACTGATGTTTTTTCCATGATGATAATGACGTCAAATTCACTATCTTGAAGATATTGAAGTTTGAGAGTTTATGTGATTTAGTCACGCTTGTTGTTTGTCTTAATCTTAAAACTGAATGCACATGGACTACTGTACAAGATCCTGCATACAAAAATTGATGGAATTTATTTGTAGATAGCAGGTTGAGACTTTGTCTATTGACTCCCCTGAAGGATATACAGGTCACATGGATGAGAGAATATGTGATGCAAGGTTGAACCATCCCAAGGGTTAAGGGGTTTGCGGTTGATGACAAAGGAAACATAGTGAATATGAGTTTCTACGGCTGACACAGTGAATAATGCTATCCGGAAAATTAGTGAAAGAGGTGTAATAGCTTTGGGTTATCTTTGAGATTAGATCATAATTTGATTTATGGAAAAATTTGTGATCGATATAAAGAAAGAGAAGTGAGAGATTGAGAAAAATCTTGAAGGTAAAGTAGGAGAACAAGAGAGAGAAGGAGAAGAATACGAAGAGCAGGGGTTGGCTTGAAGGTTACTGATTTTTTATTGGTGATTGGAGACAAAGTGGGAGAAGATTATTCAATATTGTCGAAGTGAAAAGTAACTTTTCAAAGCTTTCAGAACTCTATAAATAATGTCTGGATTTTCTTATTCTCAAACTCCCATCTCATCTCCATCAGAATCATAATCATAATCGTAATCGGTCTTCATTTCTTATGTTGCAAACTTTGAGGTTTTCTGTTGAAATGTTGATGATTTGATGCGCCTCGAATTCAGAATTTATTTATGAAGATGATTTAGATCCTCGATTTCATATGTTTTGTGATCGTTTATTTTGATTTGAGGTAATGGAGAAGAGCCTAAATACAATTAAATTCAGTCTCTCAATGAGTCAATTATTTGTGGTAATGAAAGTTTACCTCACTTTAGCTGAATTTTTATCTTGACGTTGTTTGATTTCACAATGGCAAGGGCCTTTGAACAAAGAGAGCTAATCTCACATCGTTGGTAAAAGAGTTCTTCGTTTTTCTCCAAGAGCTAATTCGCTATCTTGCGTTGAGGTGGAAACTTTGAGAGAATGGGGCATTCGCATGATAAGATCAAAAATTCACTATAGGCAAAAAATTTAGATGATCTGGACCTGGATACACAAGATAACTAACCTCATATGAATGCTAAAATGATAGTTAAAAGCTACAAGCTCTTTAAGCCAATATTTGAGATTTCAATCTTTATGCTAATACATTATTCTGATAATTATTGTGTGTATCTTCTTATTTCTCTATAGTATTGTGTCTTTTTCGTAGATTATTTCATATTTGTCTTTTAGTTAATAAATCCTTTGTAAATCCTCTAAAATATTGAACAAGGTTTGTTTTATATACCATAATTAGTCTATTAGATTTTTGTTTTTGATTTGTTCTTTGTTGTTATTGCTTTTGTCATTTTTGAGTTTACAATTTATTGTAATTTAGCGTTTCATCTATTATTTAGTTTTATATTATTTTTACATATTTAATTATGAGAATTTAACTATCAGAAATTTAAATAACAAATATAAAAAATTCATAAATGTTATTTATCCACGTTTGACGCGGATGGTAACCTAGTCAAAAAATATTTGTTAATTGATAAAATAATTGTACCAAAAAATATTTTAATTTATAATATTATTTTAATTTATTATTTATATTTTTTAGAGCAAAAACAGTAAGCGTTGTCATTTCGTAAGCTATACCATTCAGAATTTCAAGATCTAGAGGGCCAACGATCTTAATTTGGTTAAACTAGTTGGTACGTAAGCAAACCGTGACTGCAAGCCGTGATTCCGGTCAAGTTCTGTCTTCAAAAACAATCCGGTCAAGTTCTGTCTTCAAAAACAACAGCCTCTTCGAATTAAGTCCTTTTTTCACTTCCTGCGACATTTCTAGGGTTCTCTCTTACAAACGAAAAAGAGACGTAATAGCGAGAGAGCGAGAGAGCGATTATCATTACTAGGTTTAGAGATTCCAGATCAGAAACCCTAATATCCGTAACCAAACCATGCCGCGCCACAGAGACGAAGACGATGATGTAGACCAAGACTACGATGGATCGGAATTAGAGGAAGAAGAGGAAGAGGAGGATGATAGAGGGAGTCGTGGTGGTGGCGGTGGCTCTAGGCGGAAGAGAGGAAGATCGAATTTTATTGATGATTATGCGGAGGAGGATTCTGACGAAGACGAAGATGACGATGAAGATTATGGCAGCCGTGGAGGAAAAGGAGGAGGAGTAGGTGGAGCTAAGAGGAAAAAGTCTTCAGCTTCTATTTTCTTAGACGACATAGCTCATCAGGTAGACGATGAGGATGAAGAGGAAGACGGAGATGGAGAAGATGGTAAGTTTTCGGAATTGGATTCTGTAATCGAATGTTTGGATCGATTGATTTTTAAAAAACGGTTTAGCTCTTTAGATATTTGGGTTTTGAGTTATGCAAATCAGTGGCCTCAAGTGGTCATTTTGTGATTGAGATTGTTTCTCTGCTGAAATATTATTATTTGGAACGTTTGAAGCAACCATTGATTAGCAATGATTGTGGTCTCGTTCACAACATCGCTTATTCGTTGGAAATTTTAAGTAGTTTTGTTTTCTAAACGCAGATTTCATAGTGGATGCTGGAACTGACCTTCCCGATGAGCATGTTGAGAGACGGAGGTATCACGAAAGGGGGTTTCTTTCTCGCGAGGAAAATGATGAGGATGTGGAAGATCTCGAGAGACGAATTCAAGAGAGGTTCTCTAGGCATCATGAAGAGTATGATGAAGAAGCTACAGATGTGGAGCAACAAGCGCTTTTGCCATCTGTCCGTGATCCAAAATTGTGGATGGTGAAATGTGCGGTACGGGTTTTACATTACTTGGCTTGGAATTTAGAATTCTTGCTTCTTCCTCTTGTTATGTAATTTTCAATGGTGTGTTCTGTGATATTTGGAATTGATTCTCCCTGATTTTCACATTGCAATGTCAGATTGGTCGCGAAAGGGAGGTTGCTGTTTGTCTTATGCAAAAATTCATTGATCGAGGATCAGATTTGCAGATCAGATCTGTTGTTGCTCTCGACCATCTTAAAAACTATATTTATGTTGAAGCAGACAAGGAAGCTCACGTGAAAGAGGTATTTGTTTGTTGCCCTGTATCATATATTTATTTTGATCTTCTGCGCCAATGATAGTGTTCGTTAGTGGTGTGACGACATTATTTACGTTGTTTCTTTTACTTATGTTAGGCAATCAAGGGCATGCGGAATATATATGCTAATCAGAAGATCTTACTTGTCCCTATAAGAGAAATGACAGATGTCCTCTCTGTTGAAAGCAAAGCAATTGATCTATCTCGAGATACCTGGGTTAGAATGAAAATCGGGACATATAAAGGTGATCTTGCTAAGGTATGATCCATTTTCATGCGTTGACATTGGTAAAACTACCTATACACTGCTAAAATGTGAGTTCTTTGCAGGTGGTTGATGTTGATAATGTACGTCAGAGGGTTACAGTCAAGTTAATCCCAAGAATTGATCTGCAGGCTCTAGCCTCTAAACTGGTATGGATTTTGTGGATGCTGTGGGATTTGTGTTTGGTAAATACGCCTTATAGAGTAATAGTTCAGCTTAGCCTGCGATAGGAAATTTTTATGACTATCCTTGCATTTTAAGGTTTTCGAAGTGTGCTACACTTATTAAATCATACAATTATTTGGGTACACTTTGCCTGACTAATTGCAGGACGGAAGAGAAGTTGCGAAGAAAAAAGCCTTTGTTCCACCTCCACGTTTCATGAACATTGATGAAGCGAGGTACTCTTTTTACAAGTTGTTCATTGTCTCTAATATATATGGCCTGTTATGGAGAAGGTTTTTAAAAAGCGCTCGACGTTTAAACTTTGTTATATGCCTATAGGGAGTTGCACATACGTGTTGAGCGTCGGCGTGATCCCATGACCGGTGATTACTTTGAAAATATTGCTGGCATGCTTTTCAAAGATGGTTTCATGTACAAAACAGTATCATTGAAGTCCATCGTTGCTCAGAATGTTACACCAACTTTTGACGAACTTGAAAAATTCAATAAACCAAGTGAAAATGGGGAAAGCGACTTTGGTGGTCTGTCTACATTATTTGCGAACAGAAAGAAAGGTCATTTCATGAAGGGTGATGCAGTTATTGTTATCAAGGGCGATCTAAAAAACTTGAAGGGTTGGGTTGAGAAAGTAGATGAAGAAAATGTCCTTATCAAATCAGAAATGAAAGGTCTCCCTGTAAGCATTCTTACTCTTTGGCTGTCGTAACTTCTTGCCTGTTTCTAAATTTATCCAGCCTGGTAAAAAGACCGAGCATTACTCTTGTGTTGCAGGATCCTCTTGCTGTAAATGAGAGAGAGCTCTGCAAGTACTTTGAACCTGGAAATCATGTGAAGGTTGTTTCTGGGACCCATGAAGGAGCAACGGGCATGGTTGTCAAAGTCGATCAGCATGTGCTTATCATTCTGTCTGACACAACCAAAGAACACGTAAGCCAACTTTTGTATATGGATTGAGTTTCTGATTAGTAGGGTAACTAAACCCCGAGAGAATATACTTGTAGGTCCGTGTCTTTGCTGATCATGTTGTTGAGAGCTCAGAAGTGACAGCTGGTGTTACCAAAATTGGGGAATATGAACTTCATGATCTTGTACTTCTGGAGTAAGTGAATGCTGAATCAACTTCAAGTTTCCCATATATACGTGAATGAAAGCTATATTTTTTCAAATGCAGTAACCTGAGCTTTGGAGTAATTATACGACTAGAGAATGAAGCTTTTCAGGTAAATTGCCAACTTTCCAATAATACAACTACTATCAAGTCTACGCGTAGTAGCTATTTTAGATTTTCTTTCGGATATTTTTGTTCTAAACACCTAATGGATCTTGGAATAACTGTCTTAATTTCTCTAGGTTCTTAAAGGGGTTCCTGACAGACCAGAGGTTGCTCTTGTCAAACTCAGAGAAATAAAATGCAAACTTGATAGGAAAATTAGTGTTCAAGATCGCTACAAAAATGTCATTGCTGTGAAAGATGATGTCAGAGTAATTGAAGGTCCTAGCAAAGTAAGCACCTTTGCATTCTGGTTGTTGTTGGTTACCTTGCTCAACATTACTGATCTTATATAAATTAATTTGTACATAATAGGGTAAGCAAGGTCCTGTGAGGCATATCTACAAAGGAGTCTTATTTATATATGATCGACATCACCTTGAGCATGCTGGATTTATCTGTGCTAAATGTACATCATGCATTGTTGTTGGTGGATCACGTTTTGGTGCCAATAGAAATGTGAGCGTCTTTTTGTGATGTTACATTCGTTTTTCAATTAGTTGTTTCATCAAACTGTAGCTCCACCTTATCTAGCATTTTTTCTACTCTAGGGTGGTGATAGATTTAGCAATTTCAAGGCACCTGCCCCAGTACCCTCATCTCCAAGAAGATTTCAACGCGGAGGCATGGGATATAATGGTATGTTCAGATTTCTTCTTTCATTTTTGGTTATGAGAAATTGTATTTCTTTGATATTTATATTCTTCATCGGTCCGCTGCTCTTATTATTTCTCCAGGATAAGGCACTGATTTCCACTCTATATGAATTGTAACTTGTACGGTTTTCTGGTTGTGCAATGAATTCATTGCCTGAAACCAATTTATTTGCACATCTGTTGTGTAATGCTGGTACATCTTGTCTACGTACAGTTGCATATAATCTTATTTGTATCTTTAAATGCAGCTGGAGGGAGAGGCAGGGGTGGGAGAGGAGGGGGAGACAATTCTTTGTTGGGTACGACTGTTAAAATCCGTGTAGGACCTTTTAAGGGATATAGGGGACCTGTAGTAGAAGTGAAAGGAAATTCAGTGCGTGTAGAACTTGAGATGAAGATTGTCACAGGCAAGTCCTTGTATTCACTTTTCCGCATGTGGGTTGCTGTATGTTGAATGGATTCTAACAGTAGTTTTATATGCAGTTGATCGAGATGCAATCTCAGATAATGTGTCTGCAAGTACACCGTCTCGGTAATCTACTGATTTATCTCATTTGTTATTTTGACTACGAATGTCATTACGGACATTGATTATATCATCTTAATTGTACACAGAGATACACCTCGGTATAGTATGGGAAGCGAGACACCTATGCATCCTTCTCGGACTCCACTTCATCCTTATATGACTCCAATGCGGGACTCTGGAGGTTCGTTTTCTAGCTCTTGCACCGCTTAAGATCCAATATATATTCATTTTTTTTTTGTATGATCTGTAATATGTTCATTTGACATAGTAAGCTCTTCGGTGATATTTTGTAAATTTCAGCTACACCAATCCATGATGGAATGAGGACCCCCATGCGTGATAGAGCTTGGAATCCTTACACGCCTATGAGTCCACCTAGGTAAGTTTGTCGTTAAGTTGCTATTTTCCAGAAGGTAATTTTTCCTTTAACTGCTCTAGTGATTGCATCAATGCGAGGTTATCTATTAATGTTATTATACAAAATGGCTACTGTTTCAATAATTCCATGAAATTCGTAAAACATTTCTAAGAATCGTAAATTTTGATTTGAAAAATAAACTTGGATCTCTCTCAAATTATGGTTGTTATCGCATCAGGGATAACTGGGAAGACGGAAATCCAGGATCTTGGGGAACGAGTCCTCAATATCAGGTAAGAATTATCCATCTATGGTTTTGCATTCAACCTTATTACTGGCTTTATGACATATGTAGTCTTGTATTGATTGCGATTGTTTTGTTTGGCACATATTTCCAGCCGGGAAGTCCTCCTTCACGGGCATATGAAGCACCAACTCCTGGCTCAGGATGGGCTAGTACTCCCGGTGGTAGTTACTCAGATGCTGGGACACCTAGAGATCATGGTTCGGCCTATGGTATGACGCATAATCTTTTTCAAAACGTTTTATATTCTTGCATGCTATTCTCTTTCTCACATACCTTGTCATGCAGCTAATGCCCCAAGTCCTTACCTACCATCTACACCTGGACAACCCATGACACCAAGCTCGACTTCATACTTACCTGGAACTCCCGGAGGACAACCGATGACTCCTGGAACCGGCCTCGATGTCATGTCTCCTGTTATAGGTACAAACTATTGTTAAAAGGATAGATGCTTATCCCACCATGTCTCAGTCCTTCCTATTTAACTCGTCGTTTCCGTGATTTTCTTTATCTTAATGTTTATGCCACAGGTGGAGATGCTGAAGCATGGTTCATGCCTGATATATTGGTTGACATACACAAGGCTGGAGAAGATAGCGAAGTTGGCGTCATCAGAGATGTTTCGGTTTGTCTTTTTGCCTTTCACCATCTCCACTTTTATTACAATAAACAACACCAGGAGAAAAATGATGATCAAAGTAACACTTGGAGAAAGTTTACAGACGCTTGATTACGAGAATTGCGTATTCATATGTGTGACTAATGTCAGGATGGAACGTGCAAAGTGTCGCTCGGGTCCAGTGGTGATGGCGACACCATAATGGCACTCCCGAGCGAACTGGAGATAGTTCCTCCGAGGAAGAATGATCGTGTGAAAATCGTTGGCGGTCAGTATCGTGGTTCTATAGGTAAGCTGATCGGAATCGATGGTTCGGATGGTATCGTTAAGATTGAGGATAATCTTGACGTCAAGATTCTGGACCTGGCCATATTAGCCAAGTTTGTTCAGCCGTGACAGTTCTAATGAACTTTGAATTTTTCATCTCGTGATCGCCGTATATTGTAATCTTAAGTTTCTCTATAGTTTATAAAGAAACTTCGAATCTTATTTCCAGTTAAAAGAAAAAAACATATGAATGTTAATTCCAATGGTGTGATTTTTTGTTTTTACTATCTTTCGTTTTCTACTGTTTTGGTTTAGCATGGTGATCGCCTTAATAAGGAAACAACTACTGCAAATGGAGAAAAATTAAGTTTCTACATTACTCGTGGACAAGGGATAGAACTTTTAAAGATCTGAGGACACCTTGCAAGGCGATCAACGGATAGAACTTTTAAAGATCTGAGGACACCTTGCAAGGCGATCAACGGAATCAAGCAAAGACCAAGCAGCAGCCAAGAAGCACTTAAGCGGACCAAAGAACTCATTGAGGTCTCGTACGTAAATCAAGTAAGTGGTCTCCATGGATCCAACCTAACACACGCTTAATGAAACCCAAACTAATGAGGAACCAGCAGATTCAACACCATGTCCACTTGGAAGCTCACCAACAATTGAATGGCCGCCACTAAAAAGAGTATTTTCTTATAAAGATATCACAGCTCCAAGTTCTTGAACATTGCGTAAAGTCCTCTCCTTGTTCTTGAATGTAACGTGATTTATCACAGCCTCATCACAGGCTCTCTGGAGTCCCTCATTCCACATGTTCATCACACCATCGACATCTCTTGTTTTATACAAAAAGTGCGTTTCAGTTGTAGACATTTCTAAATCAAGATAGGGTTTTGCTCTATAGAGCCTTATTGAAAGAGATTACCTAAAGATGATAAAAGAGATTAACTCATTTATGAGTTTTATTGAAATGCGAGAAACTAAAAAGGAAAGAAACTTTGGTTTGTGACCAAGAACAAAGAGAGTGTCGATCAATACTTCATATATGTAAATAACTCTCAAAAACTAGATAGGAGTTGAATTGTGTGTGGTTTTTTTTTTTTCACATTTTGAAAACGTGATTATACTAATTGCATATTATTCACAATTATAAGTAGTGAATGATGGAAAACAAAAATTAACAAGTTATTTTTCAGTCCATCCTGCACGTTTTAAATTTATAACTAGTTTAGAGAAAAAAATTTTGGGGTTGAATGGTATGTAGCTTTTTCACGTTTTGAAAACGTGATTCCACTAAATGCATATCATTCACAATATTAAGCATTGAATGATAAAAAGTGAAAATTAACACGCTATTTTTCAATTCAACCCGCACGTTTGGGGGGGGAGGGGGGAACATCTACTCCAAGTTTGGAACTGCAAATAGAGCAAGGTGGCAGGAATAAGAGTAGTCGAAGGTAGATGGTTGTGATGTAGTAGATGGCCTTTTTCACCATAGAGAATAAACATTAGTGTGAGATCTTTTCAGGCTTATACTTGGAGAATGTTGCATGGCTCACTCAGAAATCTTTCTTCATACTTAGAGAGCTTAGTCGACCTCCCTGGAGGTATTTGTGACTTTTTTTATCTCACGAAGAGTCCAAATTTCCTTTATCCATTTAGCCCCCAAAAAAAAAAAAAACTTTGATCTGAAAACGTAGTAGATGAACCTTTATGACAATCTGAGCCTTGTTTCATCATGCTTTAACCTCGATATTGGATATAGCTAGCTTGTTTCAGCGCAGAAAATCTGAGCTCCTCTGCTTTCTTGAAGCTATGACAGTTAGAAATGACTAGAGAGGAAATCTGATGGTAGAAGGTGGTGAGATTAAGAACTCAAGAACCGACTGCAGTTATGATACCATGTAGACATTTCTAAATCAAGATAGGGTTTTGCTCTATAAAGTCTTATTAAAACAGATTACCTATAGATGATAAAAGAGATAGCTCATTTATGAGCTTTATGGAAATGCAAAAAACTAAAAAGGAAGAAATTTTGGTTTGTGACCAAGAACAAAGAGATTGTCGATCAGTACTTCATATATGTAAAAAAGGAGAGTTGCATTGAAACAACTCTCAAAAATTACAGAACTTGTTTATATATCAATCATATATACTAATCTATCTGAGAGAAACCCCAACACAAATGGGCTTGGCTAGACATCAAAATTGGCTAGTCTAGGGTCTGCGTTTACATCAGTCAGTTGTCTAGAATCTACCAAACTATCTTATCTTCTTCGACCCATTTTTTAGTCAAGGAAAAAGTGTCTTTCGGCCAGTTTCTAGTCTCTATCATACCACCTTGTGAGATCTTCCCCAGATCCTACATTATCTGGACATTAAACACTTATATGCTACGGTTTTTTCGATTCTGAACTATCATGCCTTTTATCTTTGTGTTGTTCATTCATTTAAGTAGTCTATTTTGTTTAGATTCATATAAGAGATAAAAAGCCATAAAATTGTGTTTCATTCTGTGTTGTGTTCTTTCATTCGTTTGAAAACAAAAACCTACCAAAATTTTGTATAGTTTTTATCTTTTTTAGTTTTAGGGGAATCATAGATCACTTTTTTTTGTCGTTGCTAACTCTTGATATTTGTCTTCTTTTGCATTCATTAAATCTGAAAAACACAAAAATATATTGTTTCTAGTTTTCATTCACTAAAAAAGAAAAAACTCATAAAAAAACACATTGTCTACATTTTGCTTAAACTAGTTTTAATTCTCTTGTACATTTGATTTGTTTCAAAAATATATTGTTACTAGTTCGGTTCAGGAGATACGATGATTTAAGCAACCCAATACACGGTTAGTAAAGATCATCTGCAGCCACAGCGGTCTGTAGATCTTCTCCAAACCGCGGCCAACTGTCAAGAGAGTGCAGCAGTCAGGGCATAGTGGTCTGCAGATCTTCTTCAAACCGCGGCCAACACACCAAACAATACAGCAGTTTGAGCACCACGATCTGCCAACTATCTCCAAATCGCGTCTAACCTTCCAGAGAGTGCAGCGTTCTGGAGGCCTTGGTTTGCTGATCCACTTCCAAACTGAGGCCAAGCCTAAAACTAGATCAAAACTTGCTTTGTGCCGAGTTGACCCAGTTTGATTAATATTCACTATAAATACTCTTTACCTAACTTTTCCTGCTTATCTTTGTTCTTCTTTAAGCAAACTTTCCTCTTTTGTTCTAAACACATTTTTTAAGATCTTTTTCAAGAGCATATGCAATCTTAAAGTTTCCTTTTGATAATCGTTCACCTTTATTTTTTCTAATCATGTTAATCTACACTTCTATCATTAGATTTGTGGTTTTAGGCATGCTTAGTGAGTAGCTCCCTAAGGATCTAAGGATGGGATGGATTATGGTGATTTGATGATTGATATATGATGTTTAGGGCTAGATTTCTTCATATTCTTTTTTATTTGATGCTCTTAATGTTAGATCTGCCTTAATTGTGTTGATTTAGAGCTTAGGGTTTTTCTTGCACTGAAAGTTTGATGAAGTTCCTGAATGAATCAAATAGAAAATTTACATGCTTAGCCTATGAAAATAGATGTCTAAAGTGTTTATTGACTAAATATAACTATAGTTTAATCAATGCTTGTTGATTATCTTTTCACTAATAGGAATTAGTTTTTGATTAGGTAATTATCAAAATGATTTGTGTCATAAGAGTGAATTAATATTGTTTAAGAGTTTTGTGCCTGAGGAGCATTTATATGATTGTTTGAACATCATGAATTAGTCAAAGAGTCACCCTAACTCAATTACCTCATTCTAGGACCTATTTGTCATATTTGTTAATCTTGATTAGTAATTGCTATGTTCTTGCTTTGTTTGAATGTTATTTCTTAAGCTCTAGATCTTTCTTGTTTTGAATCTTATTTTATTGTTCATATAGGTTTTAGAAACAAACTGTATTTGATCTTGTTTGTATTAAGAACCTTTATGCATTCTTGGTGTTGCAAACATGCTCCATTTGGATTGATACCTTAAACACTATAATAACATAGGTAGTGGTTTAAGCAATTGATTGTAAAAACCTACTATCAATTTGGGATTGTTGTCAATTGGGATTTTGTTTGTGCATTAGGATTTTGAAAGCTCTTGAGATTAAGTATTTATTTTACTTTGGTTACGAACATAGGTTCTGACTCAGAAGAAACGCTAATCACCTTGGACGAACCAACTGCAGCAGGGACCAAAGTTACAGCTCGCACAGTCCCGGAGCCCTCCCACAGTCCCTAAATACTGGGGACTCTCCGCCCCGCTCAAAGCCTCACCAATGGCATAAGAATCAGAGTCCGTAGAGGTCGAGATGGAGAAGAGCGGTCAGGTGTGGGCCAAAGACGGACTGGCTCTTGTCACACCTCCAACGGAAGGTTCGATGCGATACCTCCAGCGCGAAGGCTGGGCTGACGTCTCTCCAGCGGGAGAGTTAATGCGACGTCTCCGACGTAAAGGCTGGGCCGAGGTCTCTCCAGCGGGAGAATTGGTGCGGCGCCTCCGGCGCGACGGCTGCACATAGATGAGTCTCGTGTTGGGCAAGAGACCCCCAGGGGCATAAAGACCCCACACCTCCTCAAGTCGGCGCAGGCCACCTGCCGAGCGGGGATCAGTAAGCAGCACCCGCAAAATCAATGTAATGAGGAAGTCTGAATCATTACCTGAAACATCGGGCGTCATGCAAGACAAGAGAATGAGAGAACTCGCCATGATGCTCGCCGGCGAGAGTAAAAAGTTGAAAGACCTTAACCGCTCGTCTAGCGCGAGCAGCCAGTTCAGTTCGACCTATTCAAAGGCAGACATCGCCATAAAGCCTGAAAACTTGATAGCCATTGGCCAAAAATCAGATCAAGCGGCCCAGGCAAATACGATGGAAATAGAGCGATAATTAAACGAAATTACCTCGAGGACGCCAAGTGAGCAGGATGTTGACATCCGACAGCACCGTCCAGAAGAAGTACTGCTCCCGCCAGTTGCGGCTCCCAGATCGATCCCCGAAGATGGGAATGGCGCAACCGTCCCTGGTGTGCAAGATGTAGTTGAGCGCGTCAGCGGTGAGGTTACAAAGCTGGTAGGACAACAACACCATGGAGCCCCGTACTCGGATCCCAGACATGCCCGAGAGGACCTGATAAGCACAAAGAAGCCCTCCACAGCTGAAGGGTGGAGCTGACTGGGGCAAATGCCACTGAGGCGGCAGAAGTCGACCAACATCCGGGGAAGGCCACCCTGAAAGCCGTAAGGGATGTAATCACTGTGGATCGCCAAGCAGTAGTGCGATGGGCGGTCCGCTCGATCTTCCCCACTAGGAAAGATGGTGCCAAGGCCAGAAGAGGAAGGGTCATTCGCCCTCAGGACCCTCTCTAAAGAGTCCGGTGTGCACACCAACCGAGGCCGGTCGCAGGGTGAGGCGGTCGAAGGTGTTCCGACCATGCTCTCGACCTCGCCGCCAGACCACGACAAGCGTGCATTCCACTCGCTAGATGATAAACTCGCTGACGACATCTCTATTGAACGAGAAGAGAGATAAAAGGCGAAAAGGTTGGAAGAAGAAGTGAGAAATATGCGTTGATAAACAGGTTGTTTGCAAGGTGAAATATCAAATCCCAAACCACAAAAATGATGTAGTATAGCAGTAAGGGTATCAATCCAACTTAGGAAGTAGGAAGAACACTAAGAATGCAAGTACTAAGCAAAGCTAAGCAGATTCGGATAAATGGATGAGAAATTATGCAAAAACTAAATGCAACGACCAAACTACTACGAAAACTATTTTAAAATCCCTGGAGGAGGGTTAACAACTACTAGAAGAAAACAGAGACCCTAAAATGCAAATCTACTAATAACTAAAAATCAGCACGTCCACGCAACCTCCACAACTCCAGAGTGCTCCAAACAACCTGATAATGATGCAAAAGTGCAAGAAATATGCTAAACGCGAATGCAAAGTGATATAGGACCTAAATGCAACAAATGGTGGAAACTAGCCTAAAATGCAAGATGAATTCATG